CATTTCCTACCAAGTCAGAGACAAGACGAAGTACTGAAGTCACAAACCAGCAAGGGGACCATCAGGGTCACGTTAATGGGAAACTACAGCTAGCTGGTCTGCCTGGCTTTCGGGAGAAAGGAGGGAAGGAGGAGGTGGCTATCTTAAAACAACACAGGATTTTAAGATCTTTCACAGTTTACTTTATACATCTTAATTTCATGTAAAGACAGAGTTTTGAGAGAGGATGAAGAGGCTTGCTGAAGTATGAAAGGCTCAGACGAAAGGGAAGCAGTGAAGCAAGAGTGACCTGGTATTTGCTTAAAATCAGCTCCAGTTTAGGGACCCATTTCCCAATAAAGCAGAAGGAACAGGTAATATGAAAAGTTCGATACAATGTTATGGTATTTACATTTTAAAGAAAATGGAAGAGAACTCATTAACCTGGTCAATTTTGAACTCTCAAACTTTTTCTTTTTCACAAAAGGGCTTATCTTGGATTTCAATATTCCAACAGAAATTGCTTCATTTCCAGCCTCTTTTCTAGTGATTCTCTGAAGCCAAAAGGTGCAGGAGCTTACTGCTGCTGAGCAGAACTGACATAAATGTTAAATGGAGACAGAGAAGCCCAGCCAGGTGCAAAAGAGATGGGGACTGAACAGTCAGTCTCCTGGAAGTACCTAGAAGAGACAGCAGCTTAGCACACAACGTGTAGTTGAAGGGAGAGAAGTCATTTGAAAGAGCAGAGCAGGACATAAAAGACCCAGGCTCCACTGGAGGCTAAACGCTAAAGGTCCCCAGAAGAATGTAACGTCTAGAGGATGAAACTGGGGAAAAACACATTGGGGGGGGGGAGAGATAACCACTCCCAGAAAACAGCTTTCATGTAATGGCCAGAGCAGAACAAAAAAGGGCACGAATTTTTTGCAGCAGAAAATATAAGTGAACTTTATTAAGGGATGAGAGACAGAAAGGTAGCAAAAACATCAGGCTCCAGGGAGAACTCTCATAAACTGCACAGAGTGCCTGTCTGCCTCCGCCCCCGCAACAAACTGTGGCGGTAACAAGTTTTAATCAAGGACTTTGTGAGATAGCAAGGTAGCAAGGAGATGCTGAGAGCAAAGGTAATGCGGGTTAAGTGATTGGTGTGAGGGGGATTGGGAGGAGAGAGGAGAGATAACTACTTTCCTCATACAGGGAATAGGACGTCTCCAGGTGAGATGGGAGCAAACTGGGGAAACGTAAGAGAGGAAGACCCAAGTGGAAGGAGCCACCGGGAGTTAGGCATTCAGATTTTAGGGAAAGAGAAGAATTGCCTTTGTAATCGGCATGGGGAAAGCAGATCAGGTGAAGGAGAAAACTCACGAGAGAAAACCTCCCTCCTCTTCTGAGCTATCCGAACTTCAGAGACACCTCCGTAAGCTGAAGGATATAGCTAGTGGGATTTTCAGATCTCACTGTAAAGAAAGAACAGACCCGCTGTTCCGCAGGCAAGGACTTGCTCTTTTGAAAGTCCATTTCTGATGTGTATTCAAACAGCGAAGGAAGACGCACAGGCCTCCAAGAAGCCATCCCCGGTAAGGTCACAGAAAAGGACAGCGCTGTACGCGCTGGCACATGGGACTGAGCTGGGGACACTCAGGAGAGATCAGCTGAGCAAATCTGGCCAGGGACATGAATAAAAATCAAACTGCTTAAAGAAAATGAAGTACAGGATACAGCCCTCAGAGGTGGAAAGGAAGAGAAAGGGCTCAAATGCAGCCAGTGGGTGACCCATCCAGCAGGTAAACACACCAAAAGCAATGACTGAAAGCTAGTGCGCAGAAAGTCAGCAACACATTGCAAAGCAACATCCCTTCTACCTCAGTCCTCAGGAGTCTGCTTCTCCCGAAAATTGTTATTAGGCCAGTAAGTACTGGCAGTGCTCAGAAGCTAGGACAGAAAGGCTTTTGGTAAAGGCAATGTCCCACGCCATCAGCATTAGCAAAGGATGAAAATATGCACTCCAATTAAAAAATGTAAAACATTCTTTCATTTCTGGAGCTGTCTGGCCTTTCATAAAATTTAAATAAGCTCAGATAACTCTCTTCATAGCTACATTCAGAATATAATGATATTCAAATATACTGCCTTCACACACACAAACAACTTGTGAAATTATTTGCCAGCATATTAAGCCACTACACCAGATTGCTTGGCAATGGTGCGTGTCTTCGAAATATGCAGATGCTTTTCTTTTTTAAAAAAAGAAGAGAGGGAGACAAGAGGACAAGTGAGAAAGAATTACAGTAGAATCCGATATCCAAGTAGCCAGAACAAGAAATTGCGGAGAGACTCCAGACAAAATTACACCAGATTTTGAGAAACAGTTAAAAGATACCGAGGGATGAGTTATGACTTTTTCTTTGTGTGTGTGTGTGTATGTATATATTTCTATGCATAAACTCACAGATAGACATACACAAACACATACACATGCCTAGAGAAACAATTAAAGTCTCACAAACGCTGCAGTAGTGTTAGTCATGCGTAAACTCAAATTCCTGGTACCAGAGGACAAGAAGACGAGACAAGCTAGAAGTGTAGGTGCAGAAAATATAGGCAAGATGACTGCTGAGTATCTTTTTGAATTCCCTTATACACAGCCTTCCTGGGGAAAAGCAAGAATCTAAATCGAATACTTCTATCACCAAGATCCTGTAAAAATTATTTTGCATGTATATATACATATAGGTAACCTATATACACGCTCCAAACCTATGCCACCTAATTTTCCAGGCATATGCATAGTCTGGACTCCAGTACTGCATTGTTTAAAGCAGAGAAAGAACTGACTAAAACCAGTGGTTTCTGAGAGCATGTTTCACATTCACCAAAAAGGGAAGGTGGGAGCCTGCTAAGCCCCTAAGCACAAACTTTTAAAGGTTTCCTAAAATGCAGAAATATGAAAATTACTCCAGTGAGGTCTGAAAGGGAACTGACAGTATTCCCTACAGAACTGCTCCTGCTCAGTACTTTGTAGTGAGTAAACACGCCTTTCTTAAGAATATACAACTGCCATAAAACAGGTTAACACAGGATGAGGTATTATTTGATACCATCTAGTCTCTATCTACAGAAACAAAACAACATCTGAAATGTGTAACACATCCAGTTTCACCAATAGTCCAGCCAAAAAGTAAGGAGTGACATTATACTAACACACACAGTAGTGAAGTATCTATTTTATCTGTAATTTGGATGTGGGTAGCTTGATCAAAAAAAGATGTTCCTACTGAAGAGAGGCAGAACCAGGCTTGGTGTATGCATCACCATAATGCCCCTGCATGAGGCACAAATGGCAGAATAAAACGTGCTCCAACCTTATGTTGCAAACCCAATCATTTTTCATGGGCAACAATGGCACCTTCGGGAAAAAGAAAAAAAAAAAGTTCTTTCTAACGAGAAATTGATTTATAAGTCATTATAACCATTTCAAAAGGACAGGTCGTGGCTGGTTTCAGCAATCATTAACAAAGCCCTGCACTTTCAACGAGCCTGAGTTCTGGGGAGGAAATTCTTATCCCACCGACAGCGATCGGATGTGCACTTTTTGCAGCAGTACAGCGTCAGTCTAGAAATGGAGATGTAAAGAGCAGTACTGAGAAGACAGGTTGTCACATTTTTAAGTTTGCATTAACAACAAATGCTGTTGCTGTCTATTCTGGCACATTTGCAAGCTTGCTTTTAAGTACGAGGGGCTGGCATGCATTTCCACTATAGATAGGAAAACAAGAGCAGCCTTGTTATGATTAAAAGGGTCTATTTCCCTCTGCCTTCTGTCTTCTGTGTCCATCTGCACAGCTGCTTTGAACTTGGCCAAATCCCAGTGTTAGGGTCGTCCGCAGTACATATTTTAAATCAGCAGCAGACTGTGCAAATTTGCTGCTAGAGAAGAGAAAAATCTCCAAATTCTCACTTACGTGGTTGATGCGTGGTTTTGTAGAGCATTCATCATTATACACAGCCTAAACTATTTGGGAAATTGCAGTGAAACATACCTAAAATCATTTACTGTTTCAGGAGGAGACTCGGATAAAGCCAATATAGACATCTGCGAAGAAACGGAAGAGCAATCACCGTCGAGAAGAATTAATTCTGTGGATGCCTAGGTAGCCGATAGCATGACTAGTAAGAGGTCACAAAGTTTGCTTCAGAGAAGTTGCAGTAATTTCTCTTAAAATGTGCAGAAGTAGAGAAACTAGGTGAGTAGAAGACAGCGCATGAGACCTGCAGAACCAGGAATGGCGATGTATTTGTAAAATTACTGGGCAATACTAAGTGGTTACACGGGTTTGGGTTCTCCGTTGCCTCTTAATCTCCTCACCTACTACTCAATAGA